CAGCGCTGAGGGAGCGCCGCACCGTCGGAGGGTCAGCGCTGAGGGAGTGCCGCACCGTCGGAGGGTCAGCGCTGAGGGTGCACTCAGTTAACATTTTAAACCAAGGACTTTTCCTACACAGCTTCATTTCACACTAAACCACTTTCAATACACGCTCTTTCAATGGCCCTTCACAGACTATGCTTTGGACTTACCTGCGCTCTGGCTGTGGGTCAGATAATGCGACTCTCATGAAGCCAGGAAATCTTTTACAGAGCTGAAGAAAAATAAAGTTAGTTCTTAACATGTATTAAAATTAGCATCCTGAAAGTCGCATAAATGCACTAACAAATTATCTCAGCGATGGAAGAAAACATTAAGATTTACTGGATATTCTCCAACGGTCAGTGATGGATACAGCACTCTTTCCAATGTTTCCAAATTACCCAGACTCGGGTATACACAGCAGCATTGTACGGTTTGACGATAATATGAAATTTGGTAACAAACCAGAGAGTGATGAGGATAGTTGCTGCTTCAAGACGGCAGAAAGATGAAATGTTGCAGCTGGAGTTTAACGTTGAGGCGAGTGATGTACTTTGAGTGCACGAAGATGGAAAGACATTACGGCAGAAATGGCAAGATTCAGAAAATCATAAAAGGGCAGTGAGACATTAGTAAATAAAAAGAGAAATTGCTGGAGAAGCTTAGCAGGTCTGGCTTCACCTGTGAAGAGAAATCAGAGTTAACAGGTCAGGCCGAATGAGCTTTCCTCAGTACGATTTGGAGGAAGGGTCACTCATCCCGTAACACTGACTCTCCAGTGAGATGTTACTATTCATTTACATAAGTCCTGCCAGGCTCAGTAGATACTGTGGTCAGGAAATCATAGGGGTCTCGTCAATGTCTAAATAAAGAAACAGAATATATAAACAAAAGGATCACGCCAGTACATAGCTTTACTCAGTATCTAACCCTGTGCTGTCCCTGTCCTGGGAGTGTTTGATGGGGGACAGTGTAAAGGAGGCTTCACTCTGTGTCTCTCCTGACCCATGTTGCTTGTTTCCACAGATCAGCTGTATCCAGTAAATGGGAGACGTCCTGAACTTACCGATATGATTTCAGCCTTAGAGATATTTGGAGCTATGCTCCTCATGAAGAGTGAGCAGGTTTTGTGAAGCGGCCGAGGTTTCGGGGTGATCTCAATCTCTTTCTTTTCCTCCTTGGGTTTTTCCTTCTGTTTCTCCTCTTCCTTGTTCTCTGGCTTTGGCTCCTCTGTACAGCAAGGAGACAGTGTCAGCATTCCAACACCAGGGGCCAGTGATGCCTTCCATTTGATCGTCCACACACCACACCTCAAGCCCTCTACCCAGATCCACCTCAGTCAGCCCCCGATACTCCAGGGTTGAGATTAGAGCCGTTGATGGAATGCAGCCCTCAGAAAGAGGGTGCTCACAGCCTACCTGCTACTCTAACAGACATGAATCATTATCAGAGTCATACAGAAACAGACCCAACTCGTCCATGCTGACCACATATCCTAAACTCATCTACTCCCATTTGCCAGCATTTGGCCCATATCCCTCTAAACCCTTCCTATTCATATACCCATCCAGATGCCTTTTAAATGTTGTAATTGTACCAGCCTCCACCACTTCCTCTGGCAGCTCATTCCATACACGCACCACCCTCTGTGTGAAAACGTTAGCCCTCAGGTCCCTTTTAAATCTTTCCCCTCTCACCTTAAACCTATGCCACTCTAGTTTTGGACTCCCCTACCCTTGGGGAAAAGACCTTGGCTATTCATCCTACCCATGCTCATGATTTTATAAAACCTCTATAAGGTCACTCCTCAGCCCCCGACACTCCAGGGAAAATAGCCCCAGCCTACTCAATCTCTCCCTGTAGCTCAAACCCTCCAACCCCGGCAACATCCTTGTAAATCTTTTTTGAAATGGACACCAATTATTTTTTACACATTCCTTGACTTAAACAAATTCAGGAATTTAATAGGGGTGATCAGCTAACAAAGAAAAAAATCTATTGGGTTTCTATCACTGATCCATAAGAGGACAGCTGTTCCAAACTCAGTGATACTTAGGTTTGAATTTTCTTAATACAGCAGAGGCAGGAAAAGAGGTGATTAGACGCAAATATGCCCCTCCAAGAGGTGTGACTTGTTTTCTGGCATGGTTCTGATGTGTGGTCAATTTTGGAGTGGAACGACGTCATGGGAAGTGCCTAAAAATGACAGGTCTGCCATTTGGCTCACTTTATTAGCTTGTTGAAGAGTAGTTTGCAGCTTTTGAAAGGAGACATGGGAAATAGGGAGGGTCAATAATCTGTACCTGAGGAGTGACATAGAAGCAGGGAGCCAATCGTGACCCTAGGATAGTCATTGCATGAGAGATGGAAAGCAGGGAGACCAGAATTGCACAAAGTATTCCAAAGGGGCCTAACCAATGTCCTGTACGGCCACAACATGACCCTCCCAACTCCTACCCTGACCTCAGGCTGGTAATACAGAGGGACCTACCTTCTTTCTGGTTCTTCTCACCCTCTCCTTTCAGCTTGCCTGTGTGAAGATACAGACAGGAAATCAGAGACGTTAACACACAGAAGGCAACTGCGCAAACATGTACAAACAGAGGGGAGCCTGTGATTTAAACACAAAAGAGTTTCTGGGTGGGGGGGGCAGTTCAATAACTCGTATTGTTCCTGGAGAGAAATGAAAACACCTGAAAAGTTTGGAGAGGTTGGGCTAGCATCTGCACAGTTACAACAGGCAGCTCGACTGAAAGATACAAACTACTCAAGGATCTTAACAGGGTGAATCTGGAGCAGATGGCTTCCCCTTGTGGGGTAACGTTGTTCTCGAGGGTGGGGGGGGGGGGTCATTGTTTAAAAGGCAAGGGTCACCCTTTTAAACCAGAGATGAGGAGAACTTTCTTCTCAGTCACAGTCTCGGAAACTGTCTGCTTCCTGCCTCTTTTGAGAAAGAGGCTTTGAATCACATTAAGGCAGAGGGGGTTAGATTATTGGTAAGCAAAGGGGTGAAAGGTCATCAGGGCAGTAAAGGATTATCATGGGGGATATAAAAGGTTACTGGGGGTAGAACATTATCTGGTATTAAAGGTTATCGGGGTGGGGTGTGAAAGGTTATTGGAGCAGTAAAGGATTGTTGGGGTGGGCATGCAAAAGGTTATTGGGGAGGCGGTAGGCAAAGAGGAGTAATCAGATCAGCCATGATCTTACTGAATGGTGGGGCAGGCCCGAGGGGGGCGAGGGGCATACTCCTGCTCCTGGTTCACATGTATTTTGTATCCTTGATGGTACATCAGCCTATGGAAGGATAAAACATACCCAGAGACTGGCTTGGGGCCACTCAGGACTGTTGTAATGTTACCCCTGCCATTCCTGCTGGCAGAAACTGCCTCAGTAACACTCTCCACTACCTGAACCGTCTTCCTCAGTCCTTTCCCCAGCTGTCAGGGCCACTTCACATTCCGATTCCGAGTCAGAGGCCGTGGCATCGTCCTCGTCATAACTGTCATCGCCGCTGCGTTTCCTCTTTCGCTTCTTCACAGCCTGAAAAATAACATGGCAAAGTCTGTCACTCAATGGGTAAGTGCCCAGACTGAGCTGGGGAATGGAAACCCAGCTGTCAAAGCAGCCTGCTTGGAGGGAAGGTCTTATGAGGAAAGGCTGAGGGACTTGAGGCTGTTTTCGTTAGAGAGAAGAAGGTTATGAAGTGACTTAATAGAGACATACAAGATGATCAGAGGATTAGATGGGGTGGACAGTGAGAGCCTTTTTCCTCGGATGGTGATGGCTAGCACGAGGGGACATAGCTTTAAATTGAGGGATGATAGATATAGGACAGATGTCAGAGGTAGGTTCTTTACTCAGAGAGTAGTAAGGGCGTGGAATGCCCTGCCTGCAACAGTAGTAGACTCGCCAACTTTAAGGGCATTTAAATGGTCATTGGATAAACATATGGATGATAATGGAGTAGTGTAGGTTAGCTGGGCTTCAGATTGGTTTCACAGGTCGGCGCAACATCGAGGGCCGAAGGGCCTGTACTGCGCTGTAATGTTCTATGTTCTATGCTGACAACGGCTGGTTCATAGAGCCATCTGTCCTCAGTCTGGGACTGTCCTGGACACATCAGGCTCAATCCTGAAGGGAACACAGGGATGGAATATCAGAGGAATTGATTGAGGCAGCTCCTTGCTGCTGGTCACAGTCCACAGCAAAGGAGCCTCAAACTCTTCAAATCAGACCATTCAGAAGACTGGTCAGGAAACAATTATTAATATAATTTTTTTTTATTTATTCACAGGATGTGAGCATCTCTGGCTAGGTCAGCATTTATTGCCTATTCCTAGTTGCCCAGAGGCTGGTTAAGAATCAGTCACATTGCTGTGGGTCTCGAATCACATTGGCTAGACCAGTTAAGGATGACAGTGGTTTTGTGGTCACTGTCTGATTCTTAATTTCAGATTTTTTTTGTTACTGGCATTGAGCAAAAAGCAGGAAATTGGCCTAATTTCTGCTCCTTACAGAAATGGTAAAAATGTGAAACTCCCTCCCGGTCAATGAGCAGATGCTGGTGCAATTGATCACACTAAAACAGAGATCAAGACAATTTTGACTGCAGTATTAATGAAAGCAGAGATAAATTGACAAAGTGTGATGACAGAGTTTGGTGCAGATCCAACATGATCTCGTGGAACGGCAGAATAGACTCAAAGGGCTGAATGGTTTGTTCAGCGAGCAGAGCTCAGTCAGGACGGTAACCTGTGAATCAGCCGAGATCCCCTGCTCCAGATGAGCAGCTCCCTCCAAAACACAGCGACAAGATTCTGCGAGACAATGCAGGAAATCCCAAAGAACTCCGCGCACCCAGAGAGGCATGGTTGACCCAGTCCAACTTGGGCCAGGGCTGTGCTTAGCCCTCGATGGAATTTTCCTCCCCCGCCACCTCATGCACACCTCTGTTAGAGAGTGAGAACAGCACATTATTACAACCAGCAGTAACTAAAGGAAAACCCACTTTCACAGGGACTGGGCTTTCTTTGGCTGGCTGAGGCTGATCAATGTCATCCTTATCATCCCCTTCTTCTCCCTTCTCTTCCTCCTCTTCTCCTGGCGACTCTTTCGATTTACTGTCTTCTTTGTCCTTCTTCTCTTCCTCGGCTGGCTGAGTATTTTCTGCCTGAGGAAGGAAGGGAAGCAGGTTACATGAGGTCCAAGCTACATTTTATAACCAATACCTTGCAACACATCACACACGCAGCCCCCAACCACCAAGAATAACAAAACCACTGCAACCTTTTTGCTGTCATCTTCCTTCTCGACCATCTTCTTGTCATTATCCACGAGCCGCCCTTCTTCCTTCTTTCCAGGTTCCAATTTTTCTGCCTTTTCCTCTTCATCCTCCAGCTCCAGAATTTTCACGTCATTTTCTGTCCCACCTTCCATCTTTATGACAGCTGCCAGGCAGGAGAAAGCAAGCAGATGTTCAAAAATGGCTGCAATTGGAGGCATGGTGGGTGTGTGTGTGAGAGAGTGAGCGCGCATGAGAGACAGCGTGAGAGAGTGCGCGGGAGGGGGTGACTGCGTGTGAGAGAGAGTATATGACAGTATGCGTGATAGGGTGTACGTCCGTGAGAGAGAGAGTGAGTGCTCGTGAGTGTGTGAGAGAAAGAATGTGACAGTGAGTGACTGTGTGTAAGAGCGACTGTGTGTAAGAGCGACTGTGTGTAAGAG